ATGTACAAATATGCAATTATCAAATATCAGTCGATCGATACAGAATACCACTTAAAAAACTAACATGGTATCAATATAGTGTATTCCTACTGTACTTATCAACTTTTAAAAGGGAGAAGAAAACATTTTCCATGTCTTGATGTAAAGACTGTCTTGAAACTATATTTTTGCACAAATTGATGTAATTTTGCCAACATGCGGATATAAGTGAACACATGGCAGCTAAGTACAGTGGCGTCTCTCCGTTGTGATTCCTTTTTATGTAAGAGGGACTTGCCTGTTTGTGTCTCACACTTGAAGACTTCTTCCCAAGGTCAGGGGTAGCTGGTGTGATTGAGTTCACATTCTGCTTCTCACTGGAATGTCTGGATGTTTTCAGACTCTGAGAGTGGTCGTCAGTTGAAGCAGTTTCTTCTCTAGATGATCTCTTCTTCCATCCTGAATTTGTTCTGGGTTGTTTTAGCGTTCTCTGTGGATCATCACTGTCCTGATCCTCTCTGGTTCTCATACGCACTCTGGGAAGAGAAGGCTGAGGAGGCCCTGGAGTGTTTTCATTGGATTCTTGTGGGATATCAGTGACAGGCTCAACCTGTCCATCGTAACATGGTGAACTCAAAGTTGCAGAGTTTTCCAAATCGCTTAGGATGCTTTTTGGGGGACTGGGAATTTAATTCTGTGCTGCAGAAGATGGACAGCCTTATGAGTCTCCACAGGTTGGCTGTGAGGGAAATGGAAAGAAGCTCTCTTACTGGACCTCCTGTTGTCATCTCCAGAGCTCACTTTTTCATCCTCTTCATCCTTCTTGTCTATAGCACCTTCTTTTCCAAAGGCCCAATGCTGATTGATAGCCTCTAGCTTCATTCTTGCATAGTCTGAGTCCATGTTTTGGGCCTTTGACCACCACCAGTTTGTTTGATCCTTCTTTTCTTTATTTTCTTATTTGCCTTCCCCTGTGGAGGGGAGGATGACCCAGACTCCTGGGAGGAAGAGGTGAAGTTAAAGACGGAAAGGTCTTTGGAAGAAGGTGATGGATTGGCTTTCTTTCCCTGGACTTCATTTGATGTGTTTGAGTCAACAGGTTTCTAAATGCAGCAGCGTACTTTACGACTCTTTGGGCTAAACCATATTTTGATGTTCTTCTTATTCTTAGGGATATACCTCTCATCCGACTGTATGGTATCGGTGGCCATGGCTAAGGGAATCACAAAGAGAATCACATTGCACCAGTCAATAATAATAATAAAAAAGTAATCTTACAAAGTTGTGCACATTCAAGTATTAAATAAAGGACACAATAACTTAAAAACACCTCTTCAATAAGAAACTTGGATGGTAATTCAGAAAGTATGTATATATATATATTTTTTTTTTTTAAATACCGAAATTAATTTAAAGTCAAACAATTAGGCGGTGTTACAGTGCTCCAAATAAATGAATAAATAAAACATAATTATTTTAACATTTAATTTAAGTGGACTATTATATATTTATATAGTCTATTTAAAATATAAACTGTATAATACTATTCATTATTTGTTATTATAGTTAACTAAACTAAAAAAATACTTAAAATACATTTTAACTGGAATAATAAAAACTATAGACATTTTTTTATTTGTTTTAAAAATAAATTATGAATATTGTTTTCTTTTAGTTATTCCATTTGACATTATTGAATTCATTACTATTATTATTTTATATTACATAACCCTGAAAAAATGTTTTGTGTACATGTGAGTTCAATATAAAGATAATATCTGATATTTTTTATGAAATGTATGATGAAAATTATGTTTTTCAAAAATTTATGGAACCACCAAAAACACATATTCTCAAGTAGATTAGCTGGTTCACTTTGAGCTTTTTTT